CGCGCGACCGCACGATGCGCAAAATACACGATCGGTACAAACGCAATGCTAAGGGCAAACCCCGCATCGATGAGCTTGATCGCGCGGATGTTGCCGTTGACGGCCGCGCGGAAGTCGAGGAGCGCGTTGAGCGTTAGCACCGAGAAGGCCGCTTGCATGAGGAGCAGGATCGCGCCGTCCATGGCCGACGGCGTGAACATGGCCGCGATCACCGCGACAAAGCACGTCGACGTGATGTACGCGACGAGGAGGCCAAAGGTGGCCTTGTCGAGACCAAGCCCGGCCTCGTTCTGGATGAGCACGAGGAGGCCGCCGCAGAGCGCGCTCGCGAGGAGCGCGACGAGCAACGAGAGCAGCGGCGCGGGCACGTGCAACATGCGGCCCCACACGCGCGCGTTCGCCGGCGGCACGTCGCTGTCACGCGACGCCGCGAGCGCGTCGGGCTCGTAGTAGAGCTGGAAGGGCCGCAGGATCTTGTGGCGTACGCCGAGCGCGTACCACGCCATCTCGTAGTTGAGGATCGCGACGAGGATGGCCGCGAGGAAGTGCATGCCCATGGCGCCCGCAAAGACAAGCGCGGAGACGACGATAGTGCCGATCGCGATCGACGAGACGACGTACCAGAGGAGCGTGACGGGCGAGATCGGTGCGCCGACGTCGTCGTCCATCGACGTCGGGATCGTGGCCCGGGGCATGGACGACTGCATGAGCACGATGGAGGCGAGCGACGGGCGCACACCCGTGCAAGACTCGTCCAGCGTGAGCGGATGCGGATGGGGCGACTCGGAGATCGGCGTCGCGTCGTGGTAGTCGCCACCAGACCCGCGCGGCGAAGGAATCATCTCGCGGAATGCCACCAGCTGGGTCCGACGAGCTGGTTCCCGCACTTGGTGTTTGTATTGGCCGCTATAGAAAGACGGTCGCGCCTGCAATTGCCGTAGATGAGTACAGTGGCCGGGCTACTGGTTCGCGACCGAACCGCGTCGTGGACCTCTACACTACCTGCGTGCATCGTCCTCTTGATGCTAATTCGCCGCCGTTTAAATCAGAGGCCTCCAAATCGAGCTCCAAGGACGTCGTAGAACGATCGAGGCAGTCGATCGTACAACTCGTTGAGAGCTAGCTGCTCTTGCATTGCGTTAGACCGCTATTAGGACCACGGGGTCAGAGTGCTTGGCCACATTGGTACTAGTATCCAAGTATCCTGCACGATGGATAGTATGGATACGATACGGACTCATGATCCTTTTCAAACGGATTTGGTCGGCGCCACGAACCTTACGTCGTGGACTTGGACGAGCGAGTCCTTCGAGTCTCAGCAAGGTGTCCTACGGGTGGTCGTACATTAGCACGCGCCATGCTGTCACTCGTCGTCCGGAATATAGTCCTTTTGCGGCACGAGAGACTAGTCAACTCTCGTGCGCACCTTCAGTCGGTCTTACGTGCAAACGCTCTCGGGAGGTGTCGACATCCATATCCGATCCAGCACCGTATGCTGCGAGAAGCTACGTCGGGCGTTGCGCTGCACATGGCGACGCTATACATAGCAGCAGCAGGTTCTTGCTTACAAGAGACTAAAATTAGGCTCTCTCGCGCCATGGCGACGTCCAAAGTGTCGGTGCCGCCTCCGTGCGTCGCGCTCACGGTCGTCGTAGGCACTGCGGAGACGCCGGCTCGGCCACCGCATCCGCCACCAGCTGGGTGCAGTCGTCGAAAGAGCTCTTGCAGGCGTACGCGGATCCGGACGAATCGCACCTCTCGCTGCGCAGTGCGTCGCATCATCCTCATCCGCATCAGCATCCCGATGGTCGTATGCTAGGTGTCGTGCGGCGCGCCATGGAGCGCGAGTACGTCCTCATGCAGTTCAAGCGGTGCCAAGAGCAAGTGGGCATGGACCCGAACCTGCTCTTCTTCGCAGGTCCTTGGCGATCGATCCGACGATGCGAAATCTTATCCTCGTACGATGGTAGAGCCGTACGAAGCCAATTTTTTGCGATTTCTCAACACGATCAACGCCGTGCGCGTGCGCATCACGTTCGCGATCGGCGGCCTCGCATCCGCACTCCTCTTTTGGTACGAGGCGACGCGGCTCGACGCGTACGACGCCAGCCTCCAAGGCTTCTCGCCGGCCCACGAGCGAGCGCTGTACATTTTAACCTTTGGCGTCATTGTGCCGACGTTCGGTCTCGGGTTTCTCATCTCGTTTTGGCCCCGCGCCCGGCGCCAGCACCTCGAGCGGTAGCAAGCTCACTTCTTAGTGTCAACGACTTTTATATTGGGAGATGTAGCATTGCGATATGCGTCTACTGGATCGTGGCCATGGCGTTCATCACCAAGAAGTGGGTCCAAGCCGCGACCGGACCCGTCTTGCCACTCGTGATCCTCTTCATCCCGATCTTCAACGTCACGCGCGTTCGGTTCGCGTACAACTGCGTGCTGGGCTGGAGCATCGTCATCACGTACTACAATAATGAGTATCTGTTCGAGTCGACTAACCCTAGTCGTTTGACGAGTAGGTATTTCATCGTGCAGCTCACGCTCGGGCCCGACGTGACGTCGGCGATTGTGTTTCAGTCGGTCAACTACTCGATGGGCGTGATTGCCGGCATGGTGTCCAACTACCAACGGGTACTCGCTTCGATCTGTCGTCTCGGTCGTATATTTACATCGACTAGGAAATTCTCAAGCGGCGCAACTATACGCTGGGACTGCCCTTTCAAGGTGCCACTGTGTATACTCCTTGGTTGCTAATGCGTGGTGGGTAGGCGTTATTAGCGACGCGTCGTCGCACATCCACGACCCGCGGTATCGAAAGGAGCATCTGTGCTCTGCCATGACGCAAGCGTTTCGCAGCGACGAGCTCGAACAGTAGACAACCTTTCCCGATACCTATCTTGTACACCTCTTGTAGGTATTTCATTCGGTACTGGTACCTCCTCGACGGCAGTCCGTATGAGAACCCCAAGGCGGGCGTGCTGCACCTCAACGTCTACCGCGGCATCCGCAACGCCACCATCGGTCCGCTTTCTTCATGACGAATCATTCTTCTTACTCTGCTACTAGGTATCTTTCTTAACCAAATCACGCTGAGTCTCCAAGACACCATCAATCTCAACGGCCAAGACATCTACCCGTGGACATTTCTCTTGCGGCATGGCGGTGTCTGCACCTTGTATGCGCTGCAGTACCGCCTTTTCTACTACTATGGCCGGTTGTACGCCAACCTGTGGCGGAGCCAGCGCGAAGAGAAGCGCTCGGTGGTCCCGCCCACGTCGCAGAAAAAGTACACCGCGCCCCGCGACGACTCGCCGCCGTCGTCGCCTGCTAAAACGAACATTTACGTTCAAACCAAAGCCGTCTTGGATCGCACCATGGACGGTCTGGACGGCGGCGTACAATCAATCTGCAAAATCGTGAAAATTGTTTTTAATCATTTTTTTGAAAATTAGATGCAAAAAGCACAGCAAATGACGACGCTCATCACAAGTCAAGTCCAGCAAGTCGTCCACGAGAAGCGAGGATACACACACTCGGCGCAGCGCACGACGCTCCTCGTGCTGGCCGTGCACATTAGCATCAACGGTATTGCGACCGTCCATCATCTGTGTATCCTCAAAAAGACGTGTCCGTAGGTGGTATCTTTTTCTGGATTGCGACCACGATTGGCGCCAAGTCGGTCTACTTGATGGGCTTTCTCAACGCTCTTCTATCGGGGCACCGGTCCGGTTTTCGCCTCCGGTGCGACCTTATTTGACCATTGGTCTATAGTAACACGCCAACTAGGTTTGTCTACTCGAGCTTGGGGACGTGTGCGCTCAGCATCGCCTTCGTGTACCTTCTCAAAAGACTTGTCTATGAGCGCTTTACCGAGTACATGTCGTATGTCCTCGTCGTCCAATTGCTCGGCATGATCATCTCGTACGAGGAAGAAAACCTGCGCCGGTAGGATTGGTGTGGATCGATACAGTGTTTTGGTATACTGGATGGCATAGCTCGTTTTTCATCAAGAAGACGCTGCGACTGCTCGAATTCCAGTCGTGGTGCCACGACACGATTCTGCTTCCGATCTGGATCCGTAACAAGCTCCGTGAGAAGGCCTCGTCGGCAAAAGCACGCGTGAGCTCCAAGCACGCTGCGGCGACATCAACGAGTCCCAGCGTGAGCGACGAGCCCAACCACAAACTCAATTTGCGAACGTCGTTGGCAGTCCTTAAAACCGTGGTCGCCAACCCGATGCAAACGGTCGCAGGGCTCAAGACGATTGTGGCCCATCCGATTCAGACCGCGGCCGCGCTGCCGTCGGCGCTGCCCACGCTGGGGCACTTCAACGTGGACTGGCGCATCGACCTGCGCGAGCTCCAGCAACACCTCAACAAAGAGAACGACGTTGTCTCGAGCGCGTCCGCTCGATACAGCAAAGCCAGCCGATACGGCGTCTACGCCAACTCGGTCAACGTCCTCATCGCGACGGGCCAAGTCATTTTCTTCTTTGCCCGACAATGAGACCCGCCGGCGACGATACGAGCATCGAGGACCAGACGATGTGTTCTATCCCAAGACGGTATCACTGTTATAGAAGAGAGTACATTTGATAACCCAATAAACAAGGACTCCAAATATTATTATGAATTCGCTCCGTGCGACGTGCGCAGGGGCTTCTGCACCACTGCGATGCTGTCTGTGGACACTAGCTTGTCCAAGTCTCACCTCTCTGTGTAACGCTAAAAGGGTGACGCCTATATCGCCACGATCTCTGCGAGTCTAAAGGCTGCCGCGCCGTGCGTCTCTTCTGTAAACACCCAGCGCGCCGGCAAATGACTCTGTCGCCACTTCATCATCATGACAGCCTGCCATGGGAACGTTGCCGAGGCGAGGAAGCACGCGTCACGTATCATTCAACTAACGCACACCCTTGCATGCCGTCCGGTATGATTCGACTGCCAGCAATCGATTGCTGCAGCTACTGCCAAGACGTGTATTACTACTTATCGTCCTTGCTTGTCATACCGAAGCAAGGGTATTTAATAAACATTCATTATATACCCTAGACCGAAGCATGCTGCGAGTCTACCGGCGGTATCCATACGGTCCACTTCTTACCCTACCCCTAGCAGCAACGCACCAAACCCGACAACACGTACATACAAACATCAAATCATTTATTACGATCATAAATACTAAATAATAAAATAAATACGACGACGCCGAGACGACAACGTCGGACAGTCGGTATGGGACGAAAAGAAGCCAAGAGTCCTAGTATCATTATCTAGACTAGCCTTGGACGCCGTAGTCGGCGCGGTACTTCTTGATCGTCGAGACGTACGTCGCACGGTCGGCCGCCGAGAGCGCCATGGGGCTCTCGCTCTCAAGCAGCGCGACGAGCGCGTTGAGGTTGGCGATGGCAATCACAGGAATCTGGAACTGGGCTTCCACGAGCTGGATCGCCGACCGCGTGTCCGTGATCGACGCCTTCTCCTGGCGGTCGAGCGAGATGCAGACGCCGACGACGTTGGCCTTGGCGTGCTGCAGAATGTGCATGGCTTCCGTGATGGCCGTGCCGGCCGTGATCACGTCGTCGACGAGCAAGACGCTAGTACATCACGTCATCAACCCAACGAGTGACGTGATCCTATGTGGCATACCGCTTGCCGACGACATCGGCGCCGACAAGGACACCGCCTTCGCCGTGGTCCTTGGCTTCCTTGCGGTTGAACGTGAACGGCACTTCGCGGCCGTACAGGTCGTCAAAGCCAATCGCGATCGCAGCCGCGAGCGTAATACCCTTGTACGCCGGGCCAAAGAGCACGTCAAACTCAATGCCGCTTTCCTAATCGCACGTCGTCATGAGACATGACCGCTGGCATGAGCACGTCGTACGTGGATGGTCTGGGCGTAGAAGCGGCCGAGCTGGCGGAGCATGCGGCCAGTCTTGAAGAGACCCGCGTTGAAAAAGTAGGGCGACTGGCGGCCCGACTTGAGCGTGAACGAGCCGAGCTTGAGCACGTCGCACGACATGCAAAAGTTGAGAAAAGCGGCCTGCGTCTTGGCGGCGAGGCGCGCGCGCACCGCGTTGATGGCATCGCGGAACTCGACTGCGGCCTGGCGCGGGTTGGCGGCCTTGGAGATGCCACGCGAGACAGGCAGCAAGAGGCCAAAGCCATCGGCCGAGCAGCCGGCTTCAACAGCCGCCTCCAAGTTGCCGCCCTGCGCGCCGAGACCGGGCGCGAGGAGCCACATGGTCGGGCAAACCTTGCGCACGTTCTTGAGCGCGTCGACGTCCGTGGCGCCAACGACAAGGCCGATGTTGTCCTTCGTGTTCCACTCCTGCGCCTTCTTGGCCACGTTCTCGTAGACCATCGAGCCGTCCTGGAGCACAAGCGTCTGGAAGTCGTCCGCGGATGGGTTGGACGTCTTGCAGAGAACGAAGCAGCCCTTCTCCGGGAACTTTTGCATGTCCACGAACGGGTCCACCGAGTCGCGGCCCATGTACGGCGCGAGCGTGATCGCATGCGCCTTGGCCGACTCGAACGCGGCCGTGGCATAGGCCGCCGCCGTCGTGCTAATGTCGCCGCGCTTGGCGTCGAGGAGCACCGGGATGTCCTTGGGGATCGCCGCAATGACGTTGTCCAAGGCGACGAGGCCCGCCGCACCAAAGACCTCGAAGAAGGCGGCATTGGGCTTGTAGAGCACGGCAACGTCGGTCGTCTGCGCAATGAGGTTGAGGCAGAAGCGCTCGGCGGCCGCGGCCGTCGGCTCGGGCAGCTCCGACACATGCGGGTCGAGGCCGACGCAGAGGAGCGAGTTGATCTTGTCGGCGCGGGCGCGGACTTGGGCGAAGAAGGCAGGCATGGCGGAAGATACGCGTGAGACCGGCGAAATTCCAAAGTGTGGCGTTGTGCGTACGATTGGATTTGGAAGGACGGCGTGGGTCGCTACCTTCGAACTTCGCTTTTCAGCCACTCCGACAGCGTGATGGGCCGATCTGCCCGATGCCATTGGCCAATTGTGTTTGGTAATCGTCTTCGCTTCGACAATAATCCCATAATTATCTCATATTGAGTTGGCTGCTCCATAGTGTCTCTGTATAGAGCTGAAAGGCTCCGGATTGGCTGGAAAGAGCGAATCAACACATTGGATTTCAAATCGAGTCCAAGTGGAGAAACGAACGTGGGATCAGGCCATGCGACCTAGTCTTCCGACGAGGTCGTGATGCGCCAACAAGCGACGGAGCCTCTCGGAAGCTCGGCGACAAGCGCCAAAGTGCGTCATTGATGTCGATGGTGCATCCCTACAAGCGTTATAGCGTGGGACCGATGGATCAGCGTCTTGAACACGAGCCGGAGCAGGAGCGACGAGGCAAACACTTTCTTCTTTCCAGCTAGGCAAACCGCACCGGCGATCGCAAGGGTGGTCCGATGAGGACGGTCTGTGTTGGCGCGCTACAATGCAGAGGACACGAGCAGTTAGCACTCGTCGCCGCCGTCACCACTTGTAAAATCATCCCATCCACCTTGCGAAGAGGCGGGACAGGTTCTTCTCCTGGCTGCGGCGGGCTGGTGGCGGCGGCGTGCTTCTTGTTGACGCGGGTTATCCCTCTAGACTCTTCTATATTCCTTGAACGAACACATATAGGGCCAGGACGTTCCTGGCGTACACTGTATTGTGATGGAGGCGCAATCGAGCCACGGTGGCGCGAGAGGCGATCCTGCTGCGTTCACGATTCCATTTTGGCCACGTCGGTTCAGCGCACGCTTCGATTCGCTTGCTACACCTTGAAAGTGCGTACCGGTATGCAGGTCGTGTAGACAGTTGGAAAGCACTCGAGTGGGACCATGACCAGAAGTGGTCGATCTTGCCGTGCTCGCGCGAAAGCTTGCAGTCTACGAGCTCCATCTAAATTTTAGACGGAGGCCGTTCTTTTGTAGAACCGTACACTAGAGCTCACGCAGCGAAGGTGCCCACGAAAGCCTTTTAAATAAGTTGGCACGTTGACGCCGTGACGTGCAAGGCAAGTACATATTTGCATTGTCGCAGTCCCTGCAAGCTGGACGGCTGCCTACCGCACCCATGCCGGTCACCGTCGAGTTCCAAGGTTGACGCTGTGCTAGCCATTTCGCAGAGCTTGCTTTCGCAGACTCCAGCACCAGCCGACGACATGCAACAGCGTCATGTTTAGAGTGAACTCTGTGGACGCACCGTCGCCACGTCATGCGTTATCCGGAATTCGTACCAAACAGGTGCGAATTCGTGCTGGCATTGGCGGAGAAATCCAGTACATGCGGAATTCCTGCGTTGGCGAAACGCAGAGTGGGATGATCATCGGCAGTCTGTGCACGTGGGAGGATGACACGAAGAGGACCGTGGGATGATCATCGTCGCCCATGTGATGCTGCGTGACAGGATGCTTCGACTTGTCGTCATTTCCGCTCTTGCGACGCGAGCTCCGTAGAATAGAACTCACGATGAAGCGCCGACGCGGCCTGTGTGCGCACCCGGCCTCCGCCGTCTTACTCAACGACCACCTCCTCTCGACCATCTCGGCGTACCAGCAAGGCCTCTACGAAGAGCTCGTGCCCATTTACCGCGAGTGGGCTGCGATGCAGAGCGAGGACGGCCAATTTCTCTTCCTCATCGACCAGTACCTTCTCTATATGGACCCCGTGAGTCTCCAAAAGCTACACGTGCACACAAAGCACCCACGCTTCCTCCTGCACCTCGCGATCGTCCAAGGTCAAATGCCACTGCTCTCGCGCTGGCTGCGCTGCGTCGGCACGTCGTGGATCAACCACGACACGATGAACTGCGCCGCGCGCCACGGCCAGCTCGAGATCGTCACGTACCTCGCGACAGCCACGCGCCTCCGCTGCTCGGCCGACGCCATGGCGTACGCTGCGGCCAACGGCCATCTCGACGTCGTCAAGTACTTTTACGCCACCGACCCGGGCCTCGCGACGCCATATGCGCTGCATCAAGCGGCCGAGTACGGACATTTGCACGTCGTCGCCTTCTTCGCACGGCGATGTCCACCGTCGTTTGCGCGCGGCGCGATCGACTACGCCGCTGCCAACGGCCATCTCGCCGTCGTGCGGTACTTGCACGAGACGCAGGGCGACGCGGGCGTGTGCTCGACCAACGCCATGGACTTTGCGGCCGCGAACGGGCACTTGGACGTCGTCCGATTTCTGCACATTGCGCGCGACGAAGGGTGCACGAGGAATGCAATCGACGAAGCGGCGACCAACGGGTTCTTGTCCGTGGTGGTGTTTCTGCACACACACCGGAAAGAGGGCTGCTCGCGCCAAGCCCTTCGCGGCGCAGCGGGCAATGGTCATGACGATATCGTTGCCTATTTGCGGGACCACGGCCTCGGGTGCAGCCCGCGGGATGAAACGAAGACGTACACCATCGACGTGGCAGAGGGCGTGGTGGCGCTGGCGGGCCAAGCCTGGCCGTCGATCGAAGACTCGCTGGACTTTCTCATGGATTCGTTAAGCCGGCGATAACACCGCCCGTCGTTCTCGGGCATGCTAACCAAAGTACTCGACTACGTGATTAACTTAACGGACGCTGTCTGTATGGTGGTGAACGTTCAGATCTCGTGCAAGAGGAATGCACTGCGGACGACATGCATCCGACGGACAATAGCGGCGACATGGAGACTGCGTGTTTCCGTGACGTCAAGCTTTTACACAAGAAAAAAGATGACTACTCGGCAACTCGCTTCTATTCTCGGGCTTGGCGCCATTAAGTGTTGGCTGTCGCCTGCAACTTCAACTGCGTTGGCCAATCGCATACGACGTGACAAGTGCGTGGGACATCAAGACGGTGTCATCTAATCACCTTGACGGACTGTAATAGCGTGAAGGACTAGCTGGAAGGACTAGACGAGCAAAGGGGTGTGCTCGCCGTCGAGGGCTCTATATGCATGGCAACGATATTGGTACACACATTCACGTTATAAAGAGGCCAGCAAGATACGCCCAAAATACAGAGACATTACGCGTGGTTGACGCCGGCGTCGCGGCTGCCCGGTGACAAAAGCGTCTTGTCGAGTCGACCGTGGGCGACAATGTTGGCCTGGATCAAAGTGTAGAAGAGCACGGTGCCGCCGACAAAGTAGACGATTGCAATGACAATCGCGACCAAAAAGTCGTCGGGGGACACGACGCCTTGGTAGATGATCGCCGTCATCGCGTAGGCACATAACACAAGGCAGACGACGGCGCCCGGCACGCCAAAGAACGACTTGTACGGCCGCGGGAGGTCGGGTTCGTGGCGGCGCAGCTGGATGAACGACACGAGCTGGAAGGCATACGAGATGAGCGCGCCGGTCAGCGCCAAGTTGATCATGACCGAGCCGAGGCGCACGTCGCCAATGGCAAAGTGCAACCTACAGTATCAATGTATCAGTATCGAACCAAACTCAACACAATGTGGCATACGAAATCGCCAAGATCAGCGCTACGCACGACCCGAGAATGAGCGCTGCGTACGGCGTGTGGTTGGTCGGGTGCAGCCGCTTGAGCACCGCGGGCAGGAACCCGTCGCGCGCCATGGCAAAGAGGAGCCGGCCCATGCAAAAGATAAACGAGTGGAAGCTCGCGAGAAGACCGACAATGAGGAGCCACGAAAACCCGGCAGTCGTCGCATTGTCGCCAAAGACGCTCTTGTAGCCGTCGAGGAGCGGCGACGTCGAGGCAAAAAACTTGTCGGCGCCCGGGCTGATGCCAGAGTTGAAGAAGAGCGTGCAAAAGGACAGCACAAACAGCGTGGCGATCGACGAGAGGAGGCCGCGGGGCATGTTGTACGCCGGGTCGATCGTCTCTTCGACCGCGAGCGGGAGCTCTTCGATACCGAGGTAGAACCACATAGCGAACGAGAGGCCGGTCACGAGGCCTTTCGAGCCGTCGACAAACTCCATGTGGGGCGTTGCGATAAACTGGTCGTAGCTAAACTGCGTGGCCGCGCCAATGTAAAACACGACGAGAATCAGCACCGAGAGCACGGTCGCAAAGAGCTGGACGCGGAAGCTGAGCGCGATGCCGGCAATGTTGAGCACGGTGAAGAGCACGAAGAAGAGCGCCCACCACAATGGCCCGCTGTTGCTGCTGCTCCAGCTGAAGAGCTGAATGATGTAGCTGCCAATACCGACCGACACGACCGCGCACGTGACGATGACCTTGAGCACTTCGGCGAGACCGGCAAAGTACGCGGCCGTCGGACCCAGCGCACGATGGGCAAATGCATACGGTCCACCGCCGCATGGAATCGACGTCGAGAGTTCGGCGATCGAGAACGAGAGCAGAATGTAGAGCACCGAGACGATGAGCAAATTGATCGCGAGGCCCCAAAAGCCGGCGCTCAAGCCCGCTTGCCTAAAAGAGAGATCCATGAGGTCGCTCAGAACTGATTGGTACAGCGTGGTATTACCAGCCAAAGAAATCACCGCTGACCACGGCGCCGACGCCAAGCGCCCAGAGGTGCGGCGCCTTGGCGAAGCGATGCGAGTCGTCTGCGCTCATGATGACGTTGCTGGGGCTTCGTGGTGGAAAAAGCAAACTGCGATATCTGGTCGTGCTTCTGTTTTATCACCTTCTGTTTTGCTTGACGTACATCATGTCAATTCCTCTTGCGGTTTGTATGCTCATACCAACTGCAAGATCCACCAAGGTGCCGGAAAGCACCTTTCCTTTGTATACTATACAAACACACTGGTCTTTGGCGGGTGGGCCGCATACAAAAAACAAGTGAGCTCGAACGGACTGTGCCATACCGCACAGGCGGAACAGGACTCAGCACCGCGGGACGGAAGCGAGTGTCTTCAACGCGAGTACCTTGCGCTTTGTATCCAAACGCTGGCGGCGAGTAGCCCGCGTCGTCCCGCCGATCGCGAAAGGCAACACGTGGCGCGCCTGCCAATCAGGTTGAAGAAGGTCGTTTACAGACCCGTTTCTTCGGAGGGTCCTCGGAAGCAGCTCCTCTTCGAGCGAGCGCGCGACGGCTTTGACTCGCAGCGGCTTGCGTTGCCAAGGATCAAATGCCCTGGTCGCGACGCGTACACAGGAGCTACCAGAGCAAAATCGTCAGAGACCTGTGGTGCATGTCTTCACACAACCTAGCGCGCTATCATCCAGCGGGAAGGGACAGCACGAGGCATGCACCCTCATCGGCGTTCTCTTGGGCCCGCGCACGTCCACCGCACCGATGGCACACTCGACATGACCCTGGTACCACCAGCTCAGTATTGAGAGCTTCCTCGAGGCGCCCAGTTGTTTGGATTTGGTTGCATTTCTTCATTATGGTCGTCTACAGCGGGCTTTGGTTCAGCGTGCGTACCCAGTCGATGCCGTTTCGAGCGGCCTCGTCATCGCTGTTCTCGGCGTCGGACGGTGGCTGCGCCAAGAGCGTCAGCATGTCAAACTCAAAAATGTCCATCGCCTCAACGGCACTTGTCGACGAGAAGGCTTCGTTCGCGACGGTCGCTGGCGTGTGCCGACGACAGTAGCCAGAGTACTTGGCGAGGTACTCGCACGCGTCGAGTTTACATGCTCGCCCGCCACCGTGTCGAACGCAGCGCTGGCGGGCGTGGGCTTGCTTGGCGCAGCCAGGCTCAATGCAATAGCGCCGTGTGCTGCAACCTCCGTGCTTAAGGGAAAAGGCGCCGCTGCGCGTGTACGTCGAGCAGCCTTCAATGGGGCACTGCTTCTTCCCGCTATGGCGCACGCAGAGCGCGCGGGCGTACACTTGGTTGCGACAGCCGTCGTGCGAGCAGCGACGCACGGGTCTGGCACGAGTTGGGGTTTCCATAACGTGGCAACTTAGGGTATGGATAAAAACCTTGACGTCGCATGTTGGTGCGTTTCGACAGGGCCACTGCGCGCAAAAGATGTAGGGGTGAGACCACTCATCAATCACGCATGTGCATTTGACTCGGCCGCCGTTGTAGAAAGGTGCATTGCAAGGATCACTTGTCGGCTCGATGGATCGTTCGTTGGGCACTGGCCGGGAGCCGGTTGTGGTTGCATCAAAGTTACTAGTCGGCCTCGTCGTCACACCGATAACGTGCACTAGGTACAACATCGCGAGACTATAACGAGTTGTAGCAATAAGTGAGTAGCCTGGATTTCTTGTCGTGCCGACAGGTTGTGAACGCGCAGCACATCGTCTGCACTGAGTTTCCCATGCCTCGTGTAGCCACCCGTGGCCACCGCTACCGGCTCCACTAAAGACACCCGCTTTTTCAGCGCTTCCCACATGATCGACTTTATGAATGGTACATGCAGTCATCTTGTGCGCTACTACACACGTGCAGGAACGCCCGGAGCAGCGTCCGCTCTTCGTTCACCCAAAATGGCGTGTTTCTAGCCACAAGGAACCCGCTGCGATTCACTTGCCACCCAAAAGACTTGCTTTCAGTATCGACATGAAACAAACATGTGTGTTTCGTGTTTAAAACACGTTGGTCTCTGAAGTGTGCCGACGACGCGATGGCCTCCTCGCCGTTCCTCCTTCGCCACGTCTTGGCCTCGAACGGCGTGCTCACGGCGCCGCTGCCCAACGGCGCTGGCTCCGAGTCGCTGCCAGCGCGCGTCCTTCTCGCCCAAGCGGCGGCGATTGCGGCCCATTTGCCGTCGACACCAACGTCCGTGGCCTTTCTCGCCCACCGGACGCTCGACTTCGTGCGGTGCCAATGGGCCATTTGGCTCGCCAACCACATTGCCGTGCCGATCTCGCCGCACAGCATTGCGCGCGAGCGTGCGCACATTGTGCATGACTCGTGCGCGACGCACGCCCTCTTGCGTGCTGGCGACGTGGCCGACATGCCACCGACGGTCGTCGTACGGCTCGACGACATCGATTTGAACGCGTGGCACGGCGACTTGGAGAAGCTCGTCCACTTGGAGGTGGACCGCGACGCGATGCTTCTCTACACGAGTGGCACGACCGGCGCACCGAAAGGCGTGCTCACGACCCATGCGACCCTCGATGCCCAAGTGTCGGACTTGGTGACGTCGTGGGCGCTGTCGCCGACAGACCGCGTGCTGCACTTCTTACCGCTGCATCATATCCACGGCATCATGAACAACCTCCTCGCGCCGCTCTGCGCCGGCGCCACGGTCGAGTGCCTCGTGAGCGCTTCGACGAGCGTCATTTGGGACACGCTGGCCCGGTGCGAGCACCCTGTGACGATCCTCATGGCCGTTCCGAGCGTGTACATGCTTCTGCTCGAGGCTTTTGACAAGCTGCCCGAGCCCAAAGATGCGTTTGTGGCGGGTGCCAAGCAGCTCCGGCTAGCGATTTCCGGCAGCATGGCGTGCCCCGTCTCGATTCTGTCGCGCTGGACTGCGCTGACGCGCCAGAGTCTCTTGGAGCGGTATGTTGGCTGGGTTTCTTTCGCAAGTGCGCGAGTGTCAACGACTAGGTACGGCATGACCGAGTGCGGCATGGCGCTTGGCAACCCGATGGCCGGTCCCCGCCACGTGGGCTACGTGGGCCAACCGTTCCCAAGCGTCCAAGCCCGCATTGGCGAAGTACGTGCATAGCGTCCATGCGTGTAGTATGCCATCACACGACGCATCGTTGGTGCGTAGGCAGGGGCCCTCGAGGTCCGCGGGCCGACGCTCTTCAAGGTCCGCCCAGCGTGTATTACTAGTGACGTCGTGCCTGCAGCTTGTTTGGGATAGGCCTACTGGAACCGACCAGAGGATACGAAGAAGGCGTGGACGGAAGATGGCTGGTTTCGAACGGGCGACGTCGCCGAGTACAATGCAGAGCTCCAGAGCTACCGCATTCTCGGTCGCGCCAGCGTCGACATCATCAAGGTGCGTCGATGACGAGACTGGATGACGTGATAATGTGGTGTATAGAGTGCCGGGTACAAGCTGTCGGCGCTTGAGATCGAACGCGTTCTCCTTGAGCACCCACAAGTCCGCGAGTGTGCGGTGTATGGCGTCGACGACGAAACGTGGGGCCAGATCGTCACGGCGATCGTCCGGCCCGACGCTGGCCTGCACAGTACGTGGCAAAATGCAAACAGAATTGAAGCGAAGGCGTAGGCGTCGACGAGCTCTCGCCGCCCTTCTCGGCCTTTTTGAAAGCGAATTTGGCCAAGTACAAGATCCCGCGCAAAATTCACATGGTGACGGCGATCCCCAAAAATGCCATGGGCAAAATCAACAAGAAGCTGCTGCCGTCGCTCTACGATCTCTCGCCTTCTGCGTACGCTCTCTCGTCCTCGCACGTTCTCCTGTGCCATGATCCAAAGCTTCTTGTAGGCACACCGAAGGCGCCCACCATGGTTGACGTAAGTCGACGAGCTAACGCGACCATGCTTCCTCGTTTCATTCTTGCCTGTCGCGCAACGCATAGTACTTGCATCCTAGCGTAGGCTGGCGCAAGCGCTGGAGCAGTGAGACGACGACGACCTTGCGCAAGACAAGATGAAACGCGAATGCTATGGCCACGACGGTTGTATCGAGCACAGAGCAAGAGCAAGAAAGGTGGCTGCGCGTCAGGCCCAAGCCGATCGAGTGCCCTTTGCTTGACACCTCTTCTCGGATACTCTCCTAACGTCATCAACTGCGGCCTCAATGTCTTTTCAGTCCGAGCGCTCGGTGCATCGCCCGGTCCCGCGTCCAAAATCTCGGTCGATGGCGGCGGCGCGCTCACGTTGGTGGCGTGGCCATGGACATGTGGATCGTTGTCGCCAGCCTCACATCGGCCGCGTGCTTACGATCAGCGGTGCTTTTGGTCGCGCAGACGCATGCAGTACTTGAGACAGCGTGCGTAAAGTGAATACAAAGCTTGTGTTTGGGTCTGGGAGGGTTAAAAACGACAAGGGATGCAGCGTCTTGGTGGTGCACTTCCGCGTGATGCACTTCCATGCGGTGCTGTGATCTGCCTCGCGAGGAGAGACTACTCATCGAACCGATGCATGTGGCACTAGACGCTTCACTGCGTACGAGGCCATGAACTCCAAGAACTCAACTCAACTCGTCGGCGATGCGTTGGGCAAATACGGTGCTGCCACGTTGCCGATCAAAAGATCGCATCCGGATGAAGTGATAGTATCCGGATATTGCACACGGTTCGTTTTATTGAATTGCGCACAGTAACTCGCATTTTGTATGTATTTTTATTTCGTTCGAGATAAAACCTCTATCTTTTGATACGAAACCCTCTCAGAATCGATGGGAAAATGGGCGACGTGTTCCAATCTGTGGCCATCTTGTTTGCGACGACAGCGGTAAGCGCTCCATGGCCGGCCATGGCCCATGCTCATGGAGCTCTCTAGGTAGACGATGGCATCCAAGGCTAAGGCTTCCCCCGCGCCCTCGGGCAACGTCAATGGCATCCTCTCGGACCTCCTCTCGCAGTACAGCAAGAACACGCCCCGCAAGATGAAGCTCATCGACGGCTTCCTCGCGTACGTCCTTGCCACGGGCGTGCTGCAGTTCGTCTACTGCATGCTCGTGGGCACCTTCCCGTTCAACTCGTTCTTGTCCGGCTTCATCTCGACCGTCGGCGTCTTTGTGCTCACGGTCTCGCTGCGCATGCAGATCAACCCGACCAACGCCGACGCGTTCTCGTCCGCGCCGCGATCGTCCGAGCGCGCGTTCGCCGACTACCTGTTCTGCAATTTCATCTTGTTCCTTGTCGTCATGAACTTCATGGGCTAGCCGTGAAGACGACGATGACGACTATGAGGATGAGGCTGAGGATGAATGCAATCGCCTTGTGTTTCGTGGACTCTCTTTTGCTTCCAAGTGCACTGCCGCGTGGACATGCGCTTGCTATGGTCCATGCTCTGGACCATGCTGGAAAGCATCTCTCGACGGCCCGTTGATCTCGAGTGCCACCAGCAGGAAGAGGCCTTGGAACCTCGGGCGTCACGGCCTCAACGCATCCTCTGCTAATCGACGCCGATAGGAAGGATGGTGCTAGCTATAGCGCCTGGAAGGCCCTTGATGCCCACCAGGTTGCTGCTCCAAGTGGAATCTCGGGTTGCTGAGCCGACTGGCCGAAGACGAGTGCCAGATCATAACCAGACCAGACCAGAGCACATTCTCGCATGCAAAATATTGTGGTGTTGGACAAGGGATCACGAGCGGAGCTTTACCGACGTCTTGCGACGCCCGGCTTGACACGCTGCGGAAACCTGTAATATTTAATATTTTGAACATGGCGCAGGACGGCGCTGGTGCTTGCGGCCGCTTCCCGCGGCACGTGAATTCGATGCTTGAAACTTTTGTGGTGAGATTGTCTAAGGTTCTTAGCGTCCCATTGGCGCGTGGCTGCTATTATACTTTGGCTGCAGACAACCGACCGTAGCGACCATCGTGTCCACCGCGTGTCGCAAGAACCTGTCAAACGCGATAGACCCATCCATCCAGCATGTCATTGCACTTGACAACTGCAATGGGGGAGCTCACGCCCATGGATCTCGCGCTCGTGTTTCCCTCTGTCGCGGGCGCGGCAATAGTTCTCCTCCTGCTCATGGCCTACTGCAAATTCAAGAGAAAGAAGCAGCAGACGCCCGCCGACGTCGAAGCCGAGCAAGAGCTCATGCGCAACGAGTAAGACACCGCCCGCGCAAGATCGTCGCCGTGGATGCCAACCCACCTCTTCTTTGTCTAGTCACCTTGGCAACCTCAACGGCCTCAAGCGCGGCGACATGGAAGACCTGTTCGTCAAAACGCGATCGTCGTCGTTGTGGTATCTCATGTGGCGGCGGTAGTGGCGCCGAGAAGACCAAGTGGGCGTGTGGCATCTGCGGCTTTCACAACACGGACGAGAAGCACGCGTGCACACTCTGCGAGACGAGCCGAGGTCGCTGAGCGACTCTGCAGCTGGTATGCTGACGCTGCACGTAGGCATCGCACTGGCGTCGTCGATCAACGTCCCTGAACGCACGACCACGATTGATGTGGTGCAGCTCAATGCGCTTCAGCACGCCGCTTGGTACATGCGTCGGTCCGTGCTGGCCTCTCACTTGTTGATGGTGTGTCTAGGACACGCACGATGTGGCTGCGCACGGTGCCGTCCGAGGCAGCGCCGACCAGCGTCTGGACACTCGACGCAGAGTTTGCCTCGTCGTCGACGACCACCACCACGTACTACACGTACACGCTCGTCACTCCGTCGGAGTCGCCGACTGGACCAGAGTCCGAGTCTGACGACACGAACCTCCCAACGCCAGCCGCGCTCGAGCTCGTGTGTCTCACACCAGACGCGACGCCAGCCACGACCACGGTCACTGGCGAGACGATCCCGGCGTGGTATGCGGCGCAGGCGGCGCAGCTCCGGTCCTTGCCCTTCTCGCTCAAGTACGCGTGGATGCTCGAGCAGATGGCGGCGTCGTACGACTCTCGGAGCGGCTTTACGGTCGCGCGCGACCACGTTCTCGAGCAGTCGCTCGCCTTCTTGATGCAGCTGCCGCCGACGGAGCTCTGCAGCACGACGCGCGTCACGATGGCCGGCGAAGACGCACTCGATGCCGGCGGCGTCCAGCGCGAGTGGTACACAGTGCTCGCGCACGCCATCCTGGACGAGTCGGCCAAGCTCTTTGTGGCGACCAACACGACGGACGTGTACATGCTGCACCCGGGCGCGACATCGCCCAACGCGCTGGCCAAGATCGAGGCTGTCGGACGCCTCCTCGGCAAAGCCATCATCGACGGCCAAGTGCTCCCGATGCGGCTCTGCGTGCCGCTCTTCAAAGCGCTTCTCGGGGCGCCCGTCTCGGTGCGCGACGTCTCGTACATGGACGAGACGACGTACAAGAGTCTGCAGTTTGTCGATGCGACCGAGACCGTCGAAGCGCTGGCGCTGGACTTTAGCGTGCTCGTGCCGACGATCGATGGCGGCCACGAAGTGCTCGACTTGATTCCGAACGGCCGCGCGATTGACGTGACGAGCGCCAACAAGCAAGCGTACGTGGATGCGATGGTGCGGCACCTGGTCTGCGGTCGGTGGTCGCAGCAGATCGGGCGCCTCGTCCGCGGCTTCTACACGGTGCTGCCACCCGAGCTCATCTCTGTGTTTGACTACAAGGAGCTGGAGCTCGTGCTCTGCGGCACGGCCGAGATCGACGTGAGCGACTGGCGCGCGCACACGATCGTGTCGCGCTCGCTCCAGTGCACGAACGCGCTCGAGTGGTTCTGGGACGTGCTCGAGTTCGACATGCGCCCAGAGGACCACGCAAAGTTCCTGCACTTTACGACCGGCTCGTCACGCGTGCCGTTGCAAGGCTTCAAGGGCCTCACGAGCTACGACGGCAAGCTCTGTCTCTTTACATTGCACGCGACTACGTACAGCCGCGGGTGCCTCCCCAAGGTGCACACGTGCTTCAACCGCATCGACCTGCCACTGTACCCGAGCCGCGGCCTTATGAAGGACGCGCTCTTTACGCTCCTGCGGCTCGAGTCGATGGCGTTCACGCTCGAGTAGTCCGTCCATGTGGAATTTTGGTATGGAAATGAGTTCCTGTTAGTACCGGTACAGGGATCAATGTGTTGAAAGACTTGGCTGTTTTGTCTTGTACATAGATGGCGTGGCAGCTCTGGATGCTCTGTCAGACACCATCTACTGACCGATACGCTGTGGCTTGCGTGTATTTAGGATGTGCTTTGGTGCAAGGTGGATGACGTGGCAGCTCTGGCTGTCTTGAACCCATGTTTACAACGACCGTCACTCACGCTAATCCGGTTGACACGAGGCCGGATAATCAAAGACAACAAAAGCAACTACAACCCGTGACAGAGCGATGGCAGCCCGTCAAGCGTTGACGCAAGGCGACCTCTACCAGCTCATTTGCAGCTACCAGGTCGGCGTCTTCTTGGACGTGCGCCCGCGCTTCTGCGCCTTCCACAACTTTGTGACGTACGAAGACGCCTCTGACGAAGACGAAGAGGCCGAGTACGTTGTCGCCGACGGCTTTGTCACGAGCGCCAGCCACCTCGTCCACAATACATCGGGGCAAGACGCCATTGGAGCGAGCGATTTGGGCCTCGCTGTCGACGACGGGCCAGACGATCGCTTTCCGCTCCACCTCGCCATCGCCGAAGGGGCCAAAGACGATGCGCTCCGAATCCTCGCGTGCCGCCCGGACCTCGCGAGCGAAGAAGCCATTGACGTGGCCATCTTGCACAACCACCTAGCGCTCGCGCATTGCCTCATTGCCGCCAAGAAGCTATGGCCAGGCCTTGCCTGTCGTAGCATTCTGAGCGGCTCGAGTCGCCTCGAAAAAGTCGGCACATCGCTCGTCTACAGTGTCGTTGCACACGATGCACCGGCGCTGCTCGACTTTCTTGTCGCGTACCAAGACATTCAAAAGTGGCCAGCCGACCTCCTCAAGCATGCTATTCAGCACAACGCATCGGTGCTCGCGTCGGTCTTGTATGCGAGCGACCCAAGCCTCGCAGACGCTCGCACGTTGGACGCGGCGGCGGCCAAGGGCTACTTGACCTTGGTGCAGCAGCTCGACGCTACTGGCATCGAGTGCTCGACCAAGGCGATGGACCAAGCAGCGCGTCATGGCTTCTTGGACGTCGTACGCTTCTTGCACGAGCATCGGACGGAAGGTTGCTCCGATGCAGCGCTCCGGGGCGCGAGCGAGGCAGGTCGTTTGGACGTGGTGCGCTTCTTGGTGGACCATCGGACCGAAGGCGATCTCAGTGCTGCGTTTGTCGCGGCCGCCAAAGCCGGTCGCGTGCGTGTCGTTGAGTACCTTGGAGGCGTCCGTGACGGCTGCGTCCATTTGCAAACGACACGAGACACGCGGTTCGGCCTCGTCACCTCGGTGCTCGCCACCGGCGGCGTTGACGTCTTGCTCTACTTGTCGCGCTACGATCGCATCTACCACTTGCCCCGGGACTGCGACGACATTTCGTCGCTCCTCACAAGTCGTGACCCGGTCGCCGCTGTTCGCTACATCGTCGAGCGTGGCGTCCAGTGGAAAGCGACCTGGATGGACGAGGCCTGTGGCATCGGCCATTGGGACCTCGTTCAGTTCTTTTACAAGCACTCGCCCGCCGGCTGCACGACCAACGCGTTGACGAATGCGGTGGCGTCGGGCCATTTGGACATTGCGGCCTTTCTCATGGACCACTGCGACGAGAATGGCTCGGCCGACGCGCTGACAACGGCGGTCGAGACGGACAACGTCCGCATGCTCGAGTGCCTCTGGCACCGATACCCGAAACACCGAGGAAAGCACTTGCTTTATACAGCACGAAGCAGCGGGCGCCAAGCGTGCATTGCCTTCTTACGCCTTCGCTACGAGGACGACGACGACGCTAGCGACTCTGAGAGCGCGCCATTGTAGCCGAGGCGCAAAGAGGGTTTAACGTTTTAACCCACCGTTCAATCTGAGGTTAACACCTATATAACCTATCATACACTAAATTGGGGAACACTATTTAGTATTTAAATAGTGTAAGCTGGTATCGACCGTTCTCATTGCCGACGACGACGAGCGATGGAGGACGCGTTGTTTGAGACCGAGTACGACGTCGTCATCGTGGGCACGGGCATCGTCGAGTCCATCGTCGCGGGGTAAGCTCCGTCAAGACGTATGACCAGCCTCTTGGACGCTGCAGATAGCGCCCTCGCCCGCGCTGGCCAGAAGGTGCTGCATCTGGACACGGTATGAACACAGCATGGCCTCGCATCACGCTCAACGCGCTGGCGTAGAACGACTATTACGGCTCCAACTTTGCCTCGCTCAACTTTGACCAGTTTAACGTGTGGATGGACGCGCCGATTGACGACGATGCGCCATTCGCCTCGACGTTTCGCTGCACGCGTCTCCATGACGCCCGCGCCGACGGCTTTGCGCCGCGCTCCAATGCGTTTAGCTTGGACATTCAGCCCAAGGTGCTGCTTTCGTCCAGCCCGCTCGTCGACGTCCTCGTGCACTCGGGCGTCGGCCGGTACCTCGACTTTATGGCCATGCACGAGACTTGCATGTTTACGCCGCAGCCGCCGCGTACGCCATGCCTTCCCTTCGAGCAGCACGCTTACTCCGCGTATTAGACCCGCCCGTGTGGCCAGTGCCATGCTCCAAGACCGATGTCTTCAAGAGCCGACTCTCGGTGCTGGAGAAGCGCCACTTGATGAAATTCCTCCAATTCGTCGCCGACTACGGTAACTCCGAGGGTATGACTGCGCTCATCACGCGCGCTAGGCGACGACGATGCGACGACGCTCAACGAGCGCGACCTCGCGGTGGGCCGCGCGCTGAAGCGGCCCCAAAACAAGCGCGATCAAAAGAACGCGCTCGGCGCGCTCGACAGCGCCACCGACTTTGTCGCGCTGTAAGCCGACCACTTTAAGCTCTCGACGACGCTGCAGAACGTCGTCTTGCACGCGGTGCTGCTCCTCACGACGGCGCCCACCGCGCCGCTATCGCCGACGCAAAGTCTGGATCGCCTCTACGGTTTTCTCTCGTCCATCGGCCGCTTCGCGCCGTCGCCGTTCCTGACGCCACTCTACGGGATCTCGGAGGTGGCACAAGCCTTTTGCCGTCTCAGTGCGGTGTACGGTGGCATCTACTACCTCCGCGCGCCTCTGAATGGCATCGTCACGACGCCAGAGACCGTCGCGACGGCGCTCACCACGTCGACGCGCGAGAAGAAGACGTGGAAAGGTCGTCACTTTGTCTTGAACGCCATGTACGCATCCTCGTACGGCGTCACGCCACACTCGACGACGAAGCTCTTGCGCGGGATCTTCCTGCTTCCGGGCACGCGCCCGCGCACGGTGCTGATTGTGCCACCAAAGACGGTTCTACAGCACCCGTTCGCCATGCACATCATCTCCCTCGATGGCACCACCGCCGTGTGCCCGGCCGAGCACACGCTCGTGCACGTCTCGACGATCGTGGACGCAATGCCGAACGAAGCGATGGTGCACCTCCTGCAACACGTTCTCGCGTCGTCGTTCCCGGACGCGCCGCCGGTCTGGGAAACCGTCTTCACGCTGCCCGTCTACGCCGCACCACCGCCGCCACCATCGTCGTCATCCGAAGCCTCTGCGCAAACGACGACGAGCCCGCGGAACGTGCACGTGTGCGGCGTCCAGACGTCTCCCATGGCGCTCGAATCCGTCCTCGAGTCGGCGGTCGACGAAGCGAAAGCCATTTTTGAAGCCATTTGCCCCGGCGCCGAGTTCCTCCCAAAGTCCGCGTCGGCCGAGCAAGCCGAGATGGAAGCCGCGACCGAGAACGACGAGACGGCGCAGCTATTGCAAGCCGCGACCAACCTCCTGCACATGAACGACGACGACGACAAGGTGGTCGCCTCGACGCCAGAGGTCGTCGGAAACCCCGCGCCCACGACGAGCTACGACCTCTAGGGCCACCCAACCCTTCCAGGCGTCCTGCGCTACGCTCTCAATATGGGTTCTCCAATAAGAAGTGGGTTCTTGAATAAAATACATTTCGTCGTTGGGGTTACTCGGTCAGTATCCAGCAGAGGTCGTCCATGTCCACGTCGAGGAACGTCGTGAGGCCGTCGGTGGGCGGCAGCTCCATCGTGGTGGTCGAGAGCGTGGCCCCCGCGCCCACGACGAGTTATGACCTCTAGGGCCACGCTACCTTCCCCGGCGTCATGAACTAGATTTCCACGTAAAAATTCGCAAATAAAATACACTTCGTCGTTGGGGTTACTCGGTCAGTATCCAGCAGAGGTCGTCCATGTCCACGTCGAGGAACGTCGTGAGGCCGTCAGTGGGCGGCAGCTCCATCGTGGGCGACGACAGTCCGTGTTGTTGCTTCTCCATGGCCATTGATGGCGCCTGGCGTGGTCGCCGCGAGACGTGCGGAAGGAGCTGCGGCGCGTCGCGCGTGAAGAACGGGCAGCCATACGTGCACACGGCGGCCTTTTGCTTGGACCACTTGCGGAAGCCAAAGTAGTTGAGCTGGCGCTGGAAGGACGGGTACTTGGCGTGGCGAAAGTAGCGCGGCAAGATCGACGTCGCGAGCTTGTCTTGGTCGCGGATCTCGAATGCAAGGCCGTCGCCAGTCCAGGCGAGCACCGCCGGGTCCTCGACCGCGAGCATCGTGTACAAGCTCTGCACAAACGTCGGGACGCCGTGGCTCTTGGGCAGCGGGCTCGGGCTCGACGACTTCATGCGTGGGCGGCAAATCGGAATCTGTCACGTACGCACGCCACGCCGCGCCCTGTCGCTTTGGCCGCATAGCCAGGCCAAGTCGTCGATGACCTGGCCCGTCTCGGCAGCACGGACACAGCTGGGACGCGGAGGCGGCCGACTAGCCCGTTGCCGCCACAAAGTCCTTGCCACCTCCACCATGCACAAAACCACGATGAAAAAACATGCATTCTGATTCAACCACCGACGCGCCTACTACGACGCGCTAGAGACGCGAGGTTGGCGACCGTTGGAGCGTCGCGCGGATCATGCCATGCGGCTCGTCCGTCGGCAGAAAGACCTCGCCGTGCGGGTGGAGGTTCGGGAGGCCAAAGTGCGCGAGGTTGATCGGGAGGTTGTGGATGTTGGGCATGTAGAGCTCGATGCGGCAAATGCTCGGGATGCGCGCTAGCACTGCCTCGCCCATCTGGAAGAGCGTCGACTGCACGGCGGGGCTCGCCACGCCGACGTCCGACGGACCTGCAAACACGTCGAGCAAGATCGCGCGCACGGCGGCTGCCGTCGCTGCGTTCGCCTCGGGCGTCGCGTACGCCCAGTGCGCCGAGATGGACGACGACACGAGGCGGTCGGGCACCTCAGGCAACGTCGTGTACTGGTCTTTCAGGAAGCCCACAAAGCTGCTCTGCGTTGTCTTGAGCACCTTCAACCCTGTAAAGCCCGACGCTAGCGTCATATCGACCGTGCCATTCGCACGCAGCTCCGCCGTGGCGCTACAAGATGCATGCTGTGTGGGAGGTGGAGGATGGGCGTAGGGTCCTACGTTGCATGGCGCGTCTCGGTGCCGCCTTGGACAAACGCGTGGTGGTGCGGGCGGGCATGGCCCTTTGAATCCTTCGTGACGAGGCGATCCCACTGCGTCTCGACCAGCTTGACCTTGGTCTTGTGGATCTACAGCAGGTCATCGTGTCCAAGGTGCTACGATGAGGCGACGGCGTACGACGCTCGGGTGCGCGACCACAAAGTGCTTGGCCAAGATGAGCGCAAACTCTTCGATGCAGCCAAACTCGTGCTTCTTCGCCAGCGCATGAACCGTGTTCTTGACGGTGTCGGTCGGCAAGACGGCGGCGTTGTCGCCTGTCACGAACGAGGCGCGGTCGGGACCTTCCAGGAGCACCTCGGCCTCGAGCTGCGTGACGAGATGCATATCGGGGCGCCGGGTCACCTAGCACATCAGCATCAGCCTTGCGTCGTCTGCATGCTGTGCAACCTTGAGGAGGCGCACGCGGCCCTTGCCATGCTCCGTGTGGGTGATCTCGACTGGCATCTTCTCGGCAATTGGAATATGGAATCTTCTTGCCAGCGCAAAGCAATTTTAATACATTCGATGGAGGAATTACTCTTCAATTAATATACCTGGTAATCAATTTCGCATACAGCATAATTGCTATTAGACCATATTTATATAAATATAGGCTGTTTTGTAGGGCGTCCGACCAGATTTTAGCTCCAAGTTGAAGTTGCGACCAAGATCTTGGTGTTGTCTCCAGCTGGCTCAACAGTTGAGCCCAGCACTGCACATGCTACTGCTGCAGTGAGCTCTCGCGACGACGAGGGCGAGATTCTTATTCAGGACGTCTCGAGGTCCGGCGTTCACCTATCGTAGCTCCATGTACAAGACCACACAGCCACGTCCTGCTTCAACTCAATAATCCCATTCCATCGTACTAGTACCAATAATCACATGGAGTAATATCTACTCGAGCGTGAACGCCATCGACTCGAGCCGCAAGAGCGTAAAGAGCGCGTCCTTCATGAGGCCGCGGCTCGGGTACAGTGGCAGGTCGATGCGGTTGAAGCACGTGTGCACCTTGGGGAGGCACCCGCGACTGTACGATGTCGCGTGCAATGTGAAGAGACAGAGCTTGCCGTCGTAGCTCGTGAGCCCCTTGAAGCCTTGCAACGGCACGCGCGACGAGCCGGTCGTAAAGTGCAGGAACTTTGCGTGGTCCTCGGGGCGCATGTCAAACTCGAGCACGTCCCAGAACCACTCGAGCGCGTTCGTGCACTGGAGCGACCGCGACACGATCGTGTGCGCGCGCCAGTCGCTCACGTCAATCTCGGCCGTGCCGCAGAGCACGAGCTCCAGCTCCTTGTAGTCAAACACAGAGACGAGCTCGGGTGGCAGCACCGTGTAGAAGCCGCGGACGAGGCGTCCGATCTGCTGCGACCACCGACCGCAGACCAGGTGCCGCACCATCGCATCCACGTACGCTTGCTTGTTGGCGCTCGTCACGTCAATCGCGCGGCCGTTCGGAATCAAGTCGAGCACATCGTGGCCGCCATCGATCGTCGGCACGAGCACGCTAAAGTCCAGCGCCAGCGCTTCGACCGTCTCGGTCGCATCGACAAACTGCAGACTCTTGTACGTCGTCTCGTCCATGTACCAGACGTCGCGCACCGAGACGGGCGCCCCGAGAAGCGCTTTGAAGAGCGGAACGCAGAGGCGCATCGGTAGCACTTGGCCGTCGATGATGGCTTTGCCGAGGAGGCGTCCGACGGCCTCGATCTTGGCCAACGCGTCGGGTGATGTCGCGCCCGGGTGCAGCATGTACACGTTGTCCGTCGTCGCCACAAAGAGCTTGGCCGACTCGTCCATGATGGCGTGCGCGAGCACCGTGTACCACTCGCGCTGGACGCCGCCGGCATCGAGCGCGTCTTCGCCGGCCATCGTGACGCGCGTCGTGCTGCAGAGCTCCGTCGGCGGCAGCTGCATCAAGAAGGCGAGCGACTGCTCAAGAACGTGGTCGCGCGCGACCGTAAAGCCGCTCCGAGAGTCGTACGACGCCGCCATCTGCTCGAGCATCCACGCGTACTTGAGCGAGAAGGGCAAGGACCGGAGCTGCGCCGCCTGCGCCGCATACCACGCCGGGATCGTCTCGCCAGTGACCGTGGTCGTGGCTGGCGTCGCGTCTGGTGTGAGACAAACGAGCTCGAGAGCGGCTAGCGTTGGGAGGTTCGTGTCCCCCGACTCGGACTCTGGTCCAGTTGGCGGCTCCGACGGAGTGACGAGCGTGTACGTGTAGTATGTGGTGGTGGTCGTCGATACCGAGGCAAACTCTGGGTCGAGTGTCCAGACGCTGGTCGGCGCTGCCTCGGACGGCACCGTGCGCAACCACATCGTGCGTGTCCTAGCAGCACCAACAAGTGAGAGGCCAGCACGGACCGACGCGGATACCAAGCGGCGTGCTGGAGCGCATTGAGCTGCACAACATCAATCGTGGTCGTGCGCTCGGCAACGTTGGCCGACGACGCCAGTGCGATGCCTACGTGCACCATCAGCATACCAGCTGCAGAGTCGCTCAGCGACCTCGGCTCGTCTCGCAGAGTGTGCACGCCTGCTTCTCGTCCGTGTTGTGAAAGCCGCAGATGCCACACGACCACTTGGTCTTCTCGGCGCCACTACCGCCGCCACATGAGATACCACAACGGCGACGACCGCGTTGACGTACAGGTCTTCCATGTCGCCGCGCTTGAGGCCGTTGAGGTTGCCAAGGTGACTAGACAAAGAAGAGGTGGGTTGGCATGACCGACGACGATGATCGCGGAGGTGTCTTACTCGTTGCGCATGAGCTCTTGCTCGGCTTCGACGTCGGCGGGCGTCGGCCTCTTCTTTCTCTTGAAGTAGCAGTAGGCCATGAGCAGGAGGAGAGCAATCGCCGCGCCCGCGACAATGGGAAACACGAGCGTGAGATCCATGTGCGTGAGCTCCCCCATTGCGTTGTGCAGTTGTCAAGTGCAATGACACGCTGGATGGGAGGGTCTATCGAGTTTGACAGGTGCTTGCGACACGCGGTGGACACGCTTGGTTGTCTGCAGCCAAAGTATAATGGTAGCCATGCGCAAATTCGATGCTAACGTTAGACAATCTTACCACAAAAGTCGAGTTTCAAGTGCCGCGGGAAGCGGCCGCAAGCACCAGCGGCGTCCTGCGCCATGCCCGCAGGCCACAAAAGTATTAAATATTACAGGTTTCGCAGCGTGTCAAGCCGGGCGTCGCTACATTGTACTGCCCACGCTGGAGACGTCGGTAAAGCTCCGCTCTTGATCCCTTGTCCAATATTTCGCCTGCGAGAATGTGCTCTGGTCTGATTTGGGTATGATGTGGCACCAGTCTTCAACAAGTCGGCTCAGCAACCCCGAGATCACACTTGGGGCATCAACCTGGTTGGCGCGAAGGTGATGACAGGTCTTTCCAGGAGCTAGCACCATCCTTCGTACCGACGTCGTATAGCAGAGGATGCGTTGTGGTCGCGACGCGCGAGGTTCTATGTCCTCTCCTTGCTGGCAGCACACGAGATCAACGGGCCGTCGAGAGATGCTCTAGCCAACCAGCATGGTCCAGCGTATTGACCATAGCGTGCGTATGTCCATGCCGCAGTGCACTTGAAAGCAAAAGAGAGTCCATGAAACACAAGGCGATTGCATTCATCATCAGCCTCATCCTCATAGTCGTCGTCGTCTTCGTCGTCGCGGCTAGCCCATGAAGTTCATGACGACAAGGAACAAGATGAAATTGCAAAACAGGTAGTCGGCGAACGCGCGCTCGGACGACCGCGGCGCGGACGAGAACGCGTCGGCGTTGGTCGGGTTGATCTGCATGCGCAGCGAGACCGTGAGCACAAAGACGCCGACGGTCGAGATGAAGCCGGACAAGAACGAGTTGAACGGGAAGGTGCCCACGAGCATGCAGTAGACGAACTGCAGCACGCCCGTGGCAAGGACGTACGCGAGGAAGCCGTCGATGAGCTTCATCTTGCGGGGCGTGTTCTTGCTATACTGCGAGAGGAGGTCCGAGAGGATGCCATTGACATTGCTCGAGGGCGCGGGGGAAGCCTTAGCCTTGGATGCCATCGTCTACCTAGAGAGCTCCATGAGCATGGGCCATGGCCGGCCATGGAGCGCTTACCGCTGTCGTCGCAAACAAGATGGCCACAGATTGGAACACGTCGCCCATTTTCCCATCGATTCTGAGAGGGTTCGATATCTAAAGATAGAGGTTTTATCTCACAATGAATAAAAATACATACAATACGCGAGTTACCCGCGTGCAATTCAATAAAACGATATGTGTGCAATATCCGGATACTACCACTCCATCCGGATGCGATCTTTTGATCGGCAACGTGGCACCACCGTATTTGCCCAGCGCATCGCCGACGATCCGAGTTTGTTCTTCGAGTTCATGACCTCATATGCAGTGAAGCGTCTGATGCCACATGCATCGGCTCGATGAGTAGTCCCTCCTCGATAGGCAGGTCACAGCACCGCATGGAAGTGCAGCATGAAGAAGCTGCATCCCTTGTGGTTTGCAAAACAACTCTTGTATTCTCTTGACGCATTCCGTCAAAAGCACTGCATGCGTCCGCGCAGCACAAACATGCCGCTGATTCGAAGCACGACCGTCGCGGCCGATGCGAGGCTGGCGACAACGATCCACATGTCCATGGCCATGTCGCCCAATGTGACCGTCCCGTCGCCGTCGACCGAGGTTCTGGACGACGGCCCGCACCTTTTGGTTGCCTTTTGGGTACCAGAGAGACGCACGAGGTTGGATTCGTTAATACCGTGTCGTGCACAGACGTGTGATGGCAAGCTGTGTCTCGACATTGGGAGTGGGATTGGTGCTATCGCTGGTAGTACCATTCAAGAGAGTCGAACGAGGAGAGGTGTCGACCAAAGAGCGCTCGGTCGGCTTGGGCCCGACGCTTAGCCGCCACTCTTGCTTATGCCGACCCACGTGTCTCAAAGCTCCAGCGCTTGGGCACATGGCAGCGCCAGTCCAAGCTAGGATGCAAATGCTATGCGTTGCGCGGCAGACAAGAATGAGACGAGGAAGCATGGTCGCGTTAGCCGGGCAGATGGGCGTCGTCGACTTGATACACGTCAACCATGGTGGGCGCCCTTGGTGTGCCTACAAGAAGCTTTGGATATCATGGCCCAGGAGGACGTGTGAGGATGAGAGAGCGTACGCAGAAGGCGAGAGATCATAGAGCGACGGCAGCAACTTCTTGTTGATTTTGCCCATGGCATTTTTGGGGATCGCCGTCACCATGTGAATTTTGCGCGGGATCTTGTACTTGGCCAAATTCGCTTTTAGAAAGGCCGAGAAGGGCGGCGAGAGCTCGTCGACGCCTACGCTTTCGCTTGGATTTTGTTTGCATTTCGCCACGTACTGTGCAGGCCAGCGTCCGGGCGGACGATTGCCGTGACGATCTGGCCCCACGTTTCGTCGTCGACGCCATACACCGCACACTCGCGGACTTGCGGGTGCTCAAGAAGAACGCGTTCGATCTCAAGCGCCGACAGTTTGTACCCGGCACTCTATACAACATCGCACTACGTCACCCAGTCTCGCCAAGGCACGCACCTTGATGATGTCGACGCTGGCGCGACCCAGAATGCGGTAGCTCTGGAGCTCGTCATTGTACTCGGCGACGTCGCCTGTTTGAAACCAGCCGTCTTCCGTCCACGCCTTCTTCGTATCCTCCGGTCGGTTCCAGTAGGCCTATCCCAAACAAGCTGCAGGCACGACGTCACGAATACACGCCGGGCGGACCTTGAAGAGCGTCGGGCCGCGGACTTCGAGGGCACCTGCCTACGCACCAGCCATGCGTCGTGGTTTGGTATACTACACGCATGGACTCGATGCACGTACTTCGCCAATGCGGGCTTGGATGCTAGGGAACGGTTGGCCCACGTAGCCCACGTGGCGGGGACCGGCCATCGGGTTGCCAAGCGCCATGCCGCACTCGGTCATGCCGTACCTAGTTGGTGATAATCGTGCACATGCGAAAGAAACCCAGCAAAAATACCGCTCCAAGAGACTCTGGTGCGTCAGCGCGGTCCAGCGCGACAGAATCGAGACGGGGCACGCCATGCTGCCGGAAATCGCTAGGCGGAGCTGCTTGGCACCAGCCACAAACGCATCTTTTGGCTCGGGCAGCTTGTCAAATGCCTCGAGCAGAAGCATGTACACGCTCGGAACGGCCATGAGAATCGTCACAGGGTGCTCATACCGGGCCAGCGTGTCCCAAATGACGCTCGTCGACGCGCTCACGAGGCACTCGACCGTGGCGCCGGCGCAGAGCGGCGCGAGGAGGTTGTTCATGATGCCGTGGATATGATGCAGCGGTAAAAAGTGCAGCACGCGGTCTGTCGGCGACAGCGCCCACGACGTCATCAAGTCCGACACTTGGGCGTGGAGGGTCGCATGGGTCGTGAGCACGCCTTTCGGGGCGCCGGTCGTGCCGCTCGTGTAGAGAAGCATCGCGTCACGGTCCACCTCCTTGTGGACGAGCTTCTCCAAGTCGCCGTGCCACGCGTTCAAATCGATGTCGTCGAGCCGTACGACGACCGTCGGTGGCATGTCGGCCACGTCGCCAGCACGCAAGAGGGCGTGTGTCGTGCATGAGTCACGCACAATGTGCGCACGCTCGCGCGCAATGCTGTGCGGTGAGATCGGC